CCACATGAATGTCAATTTGTTCTGTTCAATGGATTGGTCAACTTCTCTTGGCCACATGACATGTATATTTGTTCTGTTCAATGGATTGGTCAACTTCTCTTGGCCACATGACATGTCAATTTGTTCTGTTCAATGGATTGGTCAACTTCTCTTGGCCACATGACATGTCAATTTGTTCTGTTCAATGGATTGATCAACTTCTCTTGGCCACATGACATGTCAATTTGTTCTGTTCAATGGATTGGTCAACTTCTCTTGGCCACATGACATGTCAATTTGTTCTGTTCAATGGATTGGACAAGTTCTCTTGCCCTCCTTACATTTCATCTTGTTCAGTCCACATGACATGTCAATTTGTTCAGTCCACATGAATGTCAATTTGTTCAGTCCACATGAATGTCAATTTGTTCAGTCCACATGACATGTCAATTTGTTCAGTCCACATGACATTTCCATTTGTTCAGTCCACATGACATGTCAATTTGTTCAGTCCACATGACATGTCATTCTTGGTATGTCTACATAACATGTCAACTTGTTCTGCGCAGGGGCGTCTATCCCCTCCCCCCCGATTGGCCAAAGTTTTTGTGCCAACTCCCCCCCCCCCTTTTTTTTTTGCACCGTGATGATTTCTGCAATGCATGATGGATTTTGAAATGTATTCGAAAAATCACTATGAATCATAGTTATTCAAAAATTGACAGCAAAAAAACTGTTGACATCATTGTGTTAACCATTCAATAATAATAGTGATAACCAATAAATTTACAATTTCCTTAATTGATCAATAATTCGTCACATTTTTTTCAGGAAATGTCTTATCAAATCAAGCAATTGTTTATTAATTTAATTTCAATTTCTTCTGTCCACATGAACTTTCAATTTTTTTTCTGGCCACAAGAACTGTCAATTTTTTTCTGTCAACAAGAACTGTCAATTTTTTCTGGCCACAAGAATTGTCAATTTTTTTCTGGCCACAAAAACTGTCCATTCTTTTCTGGCCCCAAGAACTGTCAATTTTTTCTGGCCACATGAGCTGTCAACATGTTCAGTCTTATTTAACTGTAGGTTTATAAATCAGCAAGACGTCTACCGTTTCAGTCAGGTGTCCGACATCTTCAGCTGCTGAACGGAGTGAGCAACGTCTGCTACTGGCACGCCAACTTCTTGTTCCACATGCTGCACATGGTCATCATGACATGTGAGCTGCTGCTGGTGGGGCTGTACTCACCTGACGTCTACATGACCCACAGCCGGTGGAGCATCACACTGACCCTCTTGGCGTTCCACGCGCTTGTCATCGTGCCGTACGTGTATCTGCTGCAGAGGTTCTTCGCTACCCCCTTGGCTGGTGTGGCCGGTATCATGGGCATTAACATCTTCACTGGTAGGTGGACTGTGCCAGTGGATGATTGTAATAGAAGTAAATGTATCAGTGGTAAATTGCAATAGAAATAAATGTGTCAGTGGATGATTGCAATAGGAATAAATAAATCAGTGGTAAATTGCAATAGAAATAAACGTGACAGTGGATAATTAAAATATAAATAAATGATTCGGTGGATAAGGGCAATAGAAATAAATGTGTTCGTGTACAATTGCTTACGAAGTAAATGTGTCAGTAGTTAACTGCAACAGAAATAATTTTGGCAGTGAATGTGTCAGTCGATAAATGCAATAGAAATACACGTGTACATGGATAATTGCAATATAACAAAAATTCTCAATGGACACTTTCAAGAGAAATAAATGTGTCAGTGGATGTGTCAGTGGATAACTGAAGTAGCAATAAATGTGCAATAGGTTAATTGCAATACAAAATAAATGGATCATTGTATAACTGCACTAGAAATAAATGTGTCAGTGGATAATTGTAATAGAAAAAACATGTGTGACTGGATAATTGTAACAGGAATATGCCACAGAACAATACCTTAAGGTATGGTGGGGATGAAGTACATTCTATTTCTACGGATTGAGTCATCTATAAAGTAGGTCATGCAATTGTTTGACAATGTTACCCCCTCCCTCCCCTCGTCACAATCTGTCAAAAATCCAAGACCACCCCACACCCCCAATCCACAAAAGTTTATCAAACTTCCGAACTGAAAAAAAATATTAACATTTAATTTTTAAAAAAAACACGTCACTATTAAACTATTGAATGTGTAAAATGGACCTATTTTCTCAGAGAAAATCCATGTCAGTAGCCAGTGCTACTATTATTATATCGTGTTTAGGACTACTTACTCATTCTATTAGTAGATGGTGTTCATCGTCACATGACCAACAGAATGCAGCACTGTACCCAGTCACATGTTTGTAGGGACTACTTACTCATTCTATTAGTAGATGGTGCTCACCGTCACATGACCAACAGAATGCAGCACTGTACCCAGTCACACGTTTGTAGGGACTACTTACTCATTCTATTAGTAGATGGTGCTCACCGTCACATGACCAACAGAATGCAGCACTGTACCCAGTCACAAGTCACAGGCAAAAGAAAATAAGGAAAAAAAAAATCCCAGAAATATTTTTAATTAACCATACTTTTATTTGTAAGCCCATATAAATGTTTTTGATGGACTCAATATCGCTAAATGGATTCAAAACTCATATGACGTCAAGTGGTAGAAAGAGAAGAATAAAATTATATGAAAAATAAACGCAATGAAACAAATATATGTATTGGTGTGTATTGTATAAATAAATTCATAGATAAATCTGAACGGAAAACATTGTAGAAAGAATAATTCAGAGTTGTTTTTTTTTAATGAGAACATTTGCAAGAGTCCACTGGTACTTTCTAACAAGATTGGGGAACACATGAAGAGCTACATCTTTCCATGAGGGCAACATTGGGACCATTGATGCTTTGTCAGGACAGCGTTATCACTGAACTAGTACGACCACAATGCAATACCCCTTTGCTTTCCTTGGATTACTTACCATGGGAAATGTGTTGATGTGATCAGAGGCGAAATCAAATGACAATCCTTTGGGACCAGAACTTCATCTCTACCCAAGATGTGATCAGAGGCGAAATCAAATGACAATCCTTTGGGGCCAGAACTTCATCTCTACCCAATCGCTTACTGCCATTTCTTGTTATTCAATCTGTAATAGGCGTGTTCATTGGCTTCATGCCCTAACAATGTAACTAATGAATCAATCATAGAATTAAATGTGCGAGTATAAAATATATACCGGGTACATTTCACAAATAACACACACATATTTAATCCCAAGAGAAAATTAAACCACGTTCCTAGTGAGCCGTCTCTTACTTCCATTTACTGAGATCAAGTCTATAATAACTATATAAATAAACTTATACATAAAATTACTTTGAATAAAGAGTATTTTTTGTTTGGTTTTTACAATTATGTTAAAATCGCTTCCTTTCGACTCCTCTTTACTTTGTTTTTGTCTGGTTTCTGCGACCTCTCCTATATTTTTCTGTTTTAGGTAGGATATGTATATTTATATTATGTAAATTTAATTTATACTCATTTAAATGTGTTTTGTTTGTTTGTACTGATAAAGGCATGTGCCGAAACGTTTACTTGTGTGTAATGTATAATTATTATTAAAGCGTAACTTATATTGTTCTATTGACACAATTTGTTCGTGTCTTATTTATCTTTTTTCTTTGACTTCTTTCCCCTAACAAAACTTGTGACCTTTTTTTCCGGGACTTTTCCCGCCAGCCAGTCATACACCCAATTAGGAGTAGCTTGTGTCATCTAGCACTTGTGTAATATTACGTATTTTTCTATTGTAAGTAATATCTTATGTAATTTGTGTCTTATAGTAATATAGTTATACTTGAAGCTAATAGACAAGTGACAGTGTCAAGTAAACTTCTTCAAGCAAGAAACTTGTGAATACAAAACAGAAACTTGTTGAAATTTACTGAAAGAATCAGATCTTGACATTGTTTAATCAGACCTTGACCTCCAATGCTGAAACTCGCGTACGCGTAAATGACCGACTGGCTTTTTTGAAAACTCTTTTCTCTCATTGTCAGGAGTGGTCCTGGCATTTAGCACGGCCTTTACCAAACTGACCAACGAACATTCCAAGTCAGGACCACTGTTCTACTACTCGGACCTGGTGCTCATGGCGCTGTCCCCAACCTACGCCCTGGCGGCTGGTTTGGTCAATTTCTTGTACATGCCGGAAACGCAGATGACTGACAGTGAGTACTCGGTTGACCACTGGACGCTTCGACGTTATATATTGTTTTCATTATTATTGTTGACATTTACTTCACCTGATTCATTATTTTATAATAATCACTTAAAAATCTCTCTTAACATATTTTTAAAAAAAATATAGGTCTAAGGCTATCAAAGTTATTTTTAGAAAATTGCTACCCATCCCAAAATTTTACTTGCTTGTCATAAGGGATACACTGTAATCAAACACTTTCTGAATGAATATTTTAAGCGCTCAGCAGGTTGAATTCAGTATAGATACAGACCACAAAAGATTGTGGGACTGTAGGAATGTTCAACAGCATACGATCATGGCAAATTAATATAAACATTAGTTGATTTATGTAAGATTTTAAGGGTGAAACTAAACTTAGTTCCGTAATTGATGTGTTTTCACGTATTTCAAGGGATTTCCATGCACAATTTATGGCCATATTTTTACACAGATCATGGCATTTCAATACACAATTGATTCCCATGTCTATATGTCCATATCTATACAAAATTGACGGCAAAGTAAAAACAAAATTCATGTTCATATCTATGCACCATTCATGTCCATTTCTGTACACAATTCATGTCAATATCTATGCACCATTCATGTCCATTTCTGTACACAATTCATGTCAATATCTATGCACCATTCATGTCCATTTCTGTAAATGATTCATGCCAATATCTATGCACCATTCATGTCCATTTCTGTACACGATTCATGTTAATGTCCATCCAGAATTCACGGCCATGTTTTAATTCCCCTCTTTGACCAGGGTCGTACCTGGATTACTTAGAGGGCGAGGACAATGGAAGCGTTCAGCTAAGAATGAGTCTAACTGCCCTGATGATCCAGTATCCAGTCATGTGGATGCTACTCGTCATGGCCGAGAGTCTGTCCTGGGAGAGCTGTTGGTAGAAAGTTTTCTTCAACGCTTTAACTTTGTTTGTCGCCAACTGATTTTTTTAGTACGGGAGTCCATGGATTTTTTTTTTTTACCAAAGTCATACTCTTTAACCCAGATTTTCTAAAAGTCGCTTAGAAACTTACGTCACCTCCGGTCTGTTCTTGCTGTGGGAAGAGTCGGTTCTTTTCCTTAAGTGGAATATTCAAAAAGACCATCCCACATAGAAGAATCTGACCACTTCTCTTTTTAAAAAAACCAGACCAAAACCCATATCAAGAACTGGCTTTGTGTAAGCTGCATGGCCCTGTCAGACAGAGCGTGTTAAGTCTGTCATTCTCAAACTGGAGATAGTCATAATGTCAGATTTAATAATTGAAAGAGATTGTTCTCCCTTAATTGCTTGCTAAAATGCGCATTCAGGTTTGAAAAAATTAAAAAGTAACTCTCCTTCCTCTTGATCTCCTCAACCTTCACAATCCCACCGCCATTTTGAACAACGCCTACCAGGTGTGTCCTTGGATGTTTAACACACGTGTCAAAGTAGTAGTATTGGAGCTATGTATCGATCAATTAATATTTAAAAAAAAAAAAAATATCATTTATTCAGGCACTCATTTCGTGTCAACGACTCCAAGGTGAAGGCCGGGGAAAAAGATAATAAGATCAATCCTCCGGATGTTAGTGAAGTCTCCGTGGAGCAGGAAAGCATTGTGAGTAAACCGTTGGAAGGCGTCAAAGAAACAGGTAAGATCCCGTTTGGTAGAAAATAGGCTCATCGTATGAGTGCATGTGACACGCGTGGCACACGTGGCACTCATGGCACGAGGTGCCAAGGAATAACTGAGGGCTTGGCTTGTATCAGGTTTACGGCTTGGTCACGGGAGCTGTAGGGCGTTGTGCATTCGGCTTAAGGAATAGGGGCGTTTGTGCGAGGCTGTTATTGTAGACTTATGATGTCCCTGTGGCATTGATGCTGAGCCCGTAGGACTTGTGCATCAACCATGTGTCAGAAATGTATTATGGATGCTTAACCTGTAGGAATTATGTATCAACCATGTGTCAGAAATGTATTATGGATGCTGAGCCCGTAGGACTTGTGCATCAACCATGTGTCAGAAATGTATTATGGATGCTAAGTCCGTAGGACTTGTGCATCAACCATGTGTCAGAAATGTATTATGGATGCTGAGCCCGTAGGACTTGTGCATCAACCATGTGTCAGAAATGTATTATGGATGCTGAGTCCGTAGAACTTGTGCATCAACCATGTGTCAGAAATGTATTATGGATGCTGAGTCCGTAGAACTTGTGCATCAACCATGTGTCAGAAATGTATTATGGATGCTGAACCCGTAGGAATTATGTATCAAACATGTTCTAGAAATGTATTATGGATGCTGAGCCTATAGGAATTATGTATCAAACATGTGCCATAAATGTATTATGAATGCTGAGCACTTAGGACGTGTATATCAACCATGTGTCCGGCCATAATGAAAGGTTGTTAATGGATACGGTCGGGGCTTACCATCAACGCATAAGTATGCGCGCTGATTAATGTCCACAGAAACATTTGAATGGATTACTTCGTAAGTCAAAAACAATTGTGAGACCCGACTGCAGTGAAGAAGATCCAGTTCACTGCGTCTGAATAATTATGGGTTACTTTAAGGTTTATTAACTTTTAAGATTTAAAAAATCATTTAGATAAAAATTAATTTAGCTGAAATTATAAATAATAAGGAGCCATTAATATAGTTTGAAAGTTGGCCGGCACTGCAAGACTATCAAGGCCACACAGTGGCAAGGTGTTGTAGTGTAACATGATCGTGGAGGAGAAGGCTTTAGTGTAGCAAGGTCATGGAGGTGGGGATTCTAGTGAAACAAGGTCATGGATGTGGGGCTTCTAGTGTAACAAGGTCATGTAGGTGGAGCATTTAGTGTAACAAGGTCATGGAGGAGGGGCTTCTAGTGTAACAAGGTCATGGAGGTGGATCATATAGTGTAACTAGGTCAGGGAGGAGGGGCGCCGATTTATAGATGGCAGGCCGTCGCCTCATTCCTCATAGCTCAATAAAGTCACTGATTATCTCAGCACAGCCCCTGGGTTGATACGTTCAAATCCATTGCCTATGCTCCACTTGACTTTGTTAAATATATCCTCCCTCTTCTCTTGATGATGTCAAGCCTTATTATCATCAATTCTGTTTCATCCAATCAGATGCCGTTACCTTTATCAATGCCAGCAAGTGGTACCGTACCGGGGTCAGCTGCAAGGGCACCCAGCGTCATGTCGCCGTAGGGCCCATCTCCCTACGGGTGGCCAAAAACGAATGTGTTGGTATACTCGGTGCTGGCGGTGCCGGCAAGTCGACGCTCCTGGGCTTGGTGGTTGGCGATATTCCTAGCACTTCCGGTGACGTCTTCGTGCACGGAATTCGACCAACGTCTGAACCTAAAAAGGTGGGCATTTTTTGTTGTTTCGTGTTTCCATTCAGAATGTATCTTTGCATTACCTCTCATAGGCGTGAGCCGGCATCAGCAGCTGTCGGCAGACGCATTCAATGGTGGATTGGAAATAGCAAGGGATTTTGATTTAAAATGGCAAGACCATATGCCATCATGATCTTTAAAAGCAAAAACATTGTTAGATCTCCAAAAGCAAAGATCGTATGATCTTTGGACGCAGAGATGATATGACCTTTTTCAAAGATCTTTGCAAAAGATAACTAATGCTGTTTAGTTTGTATGTGGTGCATCCTTTGATGTGTGTAACACCATGTCTGGCACTTAATTGTGCTCAGTATAAGATTTCTATCTTGTTTGGACGTATCCTTTAGTATGGACTTCGTGAAAAATTTATCTTTGATTCCGATTTTAAGTTTATGACAAATAATTTCAATGAAGCTAATGATTATAAATGTTACGTCACGCAATGATTGACTTGTTTTTTTTTTCCCCACATGACAGATTCGCTCTCTGATTGGTTACTGCCCTCAAACGGGCGGTCTCTATGACATGCTCACTGGTCGGGAATCCATCTCGTTGTTTTTTCGGCTCAGAGGCGTGCCCAGAAAAGCCCTCGACGACCTGACCAATGAGTTGATTGGTTTTGTTTCACTGCGGCCCCATGAGGATAGAATGACCAAGAGTTACAGGTAGATGACACGTAGTAGGTGAGGCTAGGGTGAGTGCCGCCCTGGGCAAGCCGACATTTTTGCAGCCCCCTTCAACGGAAAATAAAAAATCCTGAATAATTGGTCGAAAATGCCCCCCCCCCTCTTTTCCATTAAAAGAAGAAAGTGCCGCCAGGGGTGGACCACCCCCCTTCACATTCCCCCTTCCCACAATTTTTGCAGCCCCCTTCAACGGAAAATAAAAAATCCTGAATAATTGGTCGAAAATGCCCCCCCCCCCTCTTTTCCATTAAAAGAAGAAAGTGCCGCCAGGGGTGGACCACCCCCCTTCACATTCCCCCTTCCCACGTTACGATGGAAACGTTTATTTGAAGAAATGCATAGACATCAAATACTGGCTAAAATTGAAGATAAATGACATATTATCTTTGTTTTGAAGGTAGCAGCTAGAGACCGACCGAATTTCGGCTTTGGCTTCTGTTTCGGCGCCGAAAGTGGCCATTTTATCCCTTTCAGCCAAGTTTCGGTTTCGGCCGAAACTGAAAGTTAACTTTCGGCTTGATTTCGGTATCGGCCGAAAGAGAAAAGTTAACTTTCGGATTTTTTTCGGTTTCGGACGAAATTGACTTAGACTTTCGGCCATCCGGCCGAAAGTGACTGAGGTTTTAGGTCATCTGATACTCAGCAAAAGCGATATTTAACAACAAACTAAGCGACATTTAAGAACGAACTAATTGATCTTTAAGAACAAATTAAGCGATCTTTAAGAATAAACTAAACGATCTTTAACAAAAACTAAAGTGATCTTTAAAAACAAATAAAGCGATCTTTAATAAAAAAAACTAAACGATCTTAAAGAACCAACTAAGCGATTTTTAAGAACGAAATAAGTGATCTTTAAGAACAAAACAAATGATCTTTAATAGTAAACTAAATGATTTATAAGAATAAACTAAGCGATCTTTAACAGAAAACTAAATGTTCTTTAGGAACAAACTAAATGATCTTTAAGAACAAACTAATCGATCTTAAGGAACAAAATGAATTGTCTATCAGAACAAATTAAGCAATCTTTATGAAAAAACTAAGTGATCTTCAACAACAAAATAAGCGATCTTCAACAACAAAATAAGCCATCTTTAAGAACAAAGTAAACGATTTTTAATAACAAAATAAAAAATTTTCTAAAAAAAACTAAATGATCTTTAAGAACAAACTGAATGATCTTTAAGGACAACTAAGCGATATTGAAGAACAAAATCAATGATCTTTAAGAACAAACTTAGTCATCTTTATGAACAAAGTAAACGATCTTTTAGTAACACAAACTTAGCGATCTTTATTTAAGAAAAACTTAGTGATCTTTTTTGAACAAACTAAATGATCTTTAATAACAAACTAAAAGATCTTTAAACAAAAACTAAGCGATCTTAAAAAAACCCAAAAAAAAAGATTTTTAACAACAAACTAAGCGATCTTTATAAACAAGCTAACCGATCTTTAAGAACAAATATTAACAAATAACTGAACGATCTTTAACAACAAACTAAGCGATCTTTAAGAACAAACTAAACGATCTTTAACAACAAGATGTTATATTAGATGTTTATTTATTAATATTCACGATTATCTCATTTTTTTATAAAAAGAATGTAAATGTTTATACTTTCTCCCATCATTTTCGATGTATGCAGAATGTATGCAGGAACGAATTTCAAAATATCTAAATATTTCATTTTCGGTTTCGGTTTCGGCCGAAAGTCATTTTTAACTTTCGGTATTTTCCGGTTTCGACCGAAAGTCATTTTTAAACTTTCGGTATTTTTTCGGTTTCAGCCGAAAGTCATTAGATCAGTAAATCACTTTCGGTCGGTCTATAGTAGCAGCCAATATTGAAGTATATTATTATTCATTGCGTGTATAGAGCAATGAGGGAGTGCTACATACATCTGATGCATGAAGTGCAACTAGAATACATCTCAATATCCTGCAACTGGAAGTTACCTTTCCCAAATTATTTAGCCCACGCTTATAATTAAATTGACATCCAATGAGATCTCTAAAGATGATAGACCGAATTCTGCACGTTAACTTTTGGCCTATTTTTCTGTTCATTTTAAAACCTCCTTATGATGAACTATTTTGTGCTTAATTTAAAGACATTGCCACTGGATGATAGATTTTGAAAAATGACAGTTTCTTTCGAAACAGCCTTGCGAGCAGACGAAAGCTGCTGGTGGCCCTCGCTCTCGTCAACAACCCAAGCCTCGTGTTGCTGGAGGAGCCAACCTCAAACATGGCTCACGAGTCTTGTGTCGCCATGTGGGACGTCATTAAGAAGATTGTGCTGTGTGGCCGTACGGTCATCTTCACCAGTCAAAGGTGAGGCCCAAGAAGTCCAGCTGTTCCCATTGTCGGAGACCGGGCAAATATTAATGCCCCACTACAACAGCATGGAAGGCATACACGAGTTGACTTGAGCATGGACTGAGCCGTCTGACTGGACATTGTTATAGCTAAACGGCGATTGTCTTACAAGACTGATAGTAATTCCTGCAATGCCATTAGAACAATACCAGTAGAACAATGCTATTATAACAATGCAATTAGAACAATGCCATTAGAAATATGACATTAGAGCAATGCCATTAGAACAATACCATAGTAGGAACAAGTTTGTTGCGTTAAAAAAAAGACAGCTCTAAATTTTGACACGTGTTTATGTGAGTGACACGTCTTTTACTTGAGTGACTCTTCTTTTACTTGAGTAACTCGTCTTTTACTTGAGTAACTCGTCTATTACTTGAGTGACACGTCTTTTACTTGAGTGACTCGTCTTTTACTTGAGTAACTCGTCTTTCACTTGAGTAACTCTTCTTTTACTTGAGTAACTCGTCTTTTACTTGAGTAACTCGTCTTTCACTTGAGTAACTCTTCTTTTACTTGAGTAACTCGTCTTTTACTTGAGTAACTCGTCTTTTACTTGAGTAACTCGTCTTTCACTTGAGTAACTCTTCTTTTACTTGAGTAACTCTTCTTTTACTTGAGTAACTCTTCTTTTACTTGAGTAACTCGTCTTTCACTTGAGTAACTCTTCTTTTACTTGAGTAACTCTTCTTTTACTTGAGTAACTCTTCTTTTACTTGAGTAACTCTTCTTTTACTTGAGTAACTCTTCTTTTACTTGAGTAACTCGTCTTTCACTTGAGTAACTCTTCTTTTACTTGAGTAACTCGTCTTTTACTTGAGTAACTCGTCTTTTACTTGAGTAACTCGTCTTTCACTTGAGTAACTCGTCTTTTACTTGAGTAACTCGTCTTTTACTTGAGTAACTCGTCTTTTACTTGAGTAACTCGTCTTTTACTTGAGTAACTCGTCTTTTACTTGAGTAACTCGTCTTTTACTTGAGTAACTCGTCTTTTACTTGAGTAACTCGTCTTTTACTTGAGTAACTCGTCTTTTACTTGAGTAACTCGTCTTTTACTTGAGTAACTCGTCTTTTACTTGAGTAACTCGTCTTTTACTTGAGTAACTCGTCTTTTACTTGAGTAACTCGTCTTTTACTTGAGTAACTCGTCTTTTACTTGAGTAACTCGTCTTTTACTTGAGTAACTCGTCTTTTACTTGAGTAACTCGTCTTTTACTTGAGTAACTCGTCTTTTACTTGAGTAACTCGTCTTTTACTTGAGTAACTCGTCTTTTACTTGAGTAACTCGTCTTTTACTTGAGTAACTCGTCTTTTACTTGAGTAACTCGTCTTTTACTTGAGTAACTCGTCTTTTACTTGAGTAACTCGTCTTTTACTTGAGTAACTCGTCTTTTACTTGAGTAACTCGTCTTTTACTTGAGTAACTCGTCTTTTACTTGAGTAACTCGTCTTTTACTTGAGTAACTCGTCTTTTACTTGAGTAACTCGTCTTTTACTTGAGTGACTCGTCTTTTACTTGAGTAACTCGTCTTTTACTTGAGTAACTCGTCTTTTACTTGAGTAACTCGTCTTTTACTTGAGTAACTCGTCTTTTACTTGAGTAACTCTTCTTTTACTTGAGTGACTCTTCTTTTACTTGAGTAACTCTTCTTTTACTTGAGTGACTCTTCTTTTACTTGAGTAACTCGTCTTTTACTTGAGTAACTCTTCTTTTACTTGAGTGACTCTTCTTTTACTTGAGTGACTCTTCTTTTACTTGAGTAACTCGTCTTTTACTTGAGTAACTCGTCTTTTACTTGAGTGACTCTTCTTTTACTTGAGTAACTCTTCTTTTACTTGAGTAACTCGTCTTTTACTTGAGTAACTCGTCTTTTACTTGAGTGACTCTTCTTTTACTTGAGTAACTCTTCTTTTACTTGAGTAACTCGTCTTTTACTTGAGTAACTCTTCTTTTACTTGAGTGACTCTTCTTTTACTTGAGTAACTCTTCTTTTACTTGAGTGACTCTTCTTTTACTTGAGTAACTCGTCTTTTACTTGAGTAACTCTTCTTTTACTTGAGTGACTCTTCTTTTACTTGAGTGACTCTTCTTTTACTTGAGTAACTCGTCTTTTACTTGAGTAACTCGTCTATTACTTGAGTGACTCTTCTTTTACTTGAGTGACTCGTCTTTTACTTGAGTAACTCGTCTTTTACTTGAGTAACTCTTCTTTTACTTGAGTAACTCGTCTTTTACTTGAGTGACTCGTCTTTTACTTGAGTGACTCGTCTTTCACTTGAGTAACTCGTCTTTTACTTGAGTAACTCGTCTATTACTTGAGTGACACGTCTTTTACTTGAGTGACTCTTCTTTTACTTGAGTAACTCGTCTTTCACTTGAGTAACTCTTCTTTCACTTGAGTAACTCGTCTTTTACTTGAGTAACTCGTCTATTACTTGAGTGACACGTCTTTTACTTGAGTGACTCTTCTTTTACTTGAGTAACTCGTCTTTTACTTGAGTAACTCGTCTTTTACTTGAGTAACTCGTCTTTTACTTGAGTAACTCGTCTTTCACTTGAGTAACTCGTCTTTCACTTGAGTAACTCTTCTTTTTCTTGAGTAACTCTTCTTTTACTTGAGTGACTCGTCTTTTACTTGAGTGACTCGTCTTTTACTTGAGTGACTCGTCTTTTACTTGAGTAACTCTTCTTTTACTTGAGTAACTCGTCTTTTACTTGAGTGACTCGTCTTTTACTTGAGTAACTCGTCTTTTACTTGAGTAACTCGTCTTTTACTTGAGTAACTCGTCTATTACTTGAGTGACACGTCTTTTACTTGAGTGACTCTTCTTTTACTTGAGTAACTCGTCTATTACTTGAGTGACACGTCTTTTACTTGAGTGACTCTTCTTTTACTTGAGTAACTCGTCTTTTACTTGAGTAACTCTTCTTTTACTTGAATAACTCTTCTTTTACTTGAGTAACTCTTCTTTTACTTGAGTAACTCGTCTATTACTTGAGTGACACGTCTTTTACTTGAGTGACTCTTCTTTTACTTGAGTGACTCTTCTTTTACTTGAGTAACTCTTCTTTTACTTGAGTAACTCGTCTATTACTTGAGTGACACGTCTTTTACTTGAGTGACTCTTCTTTTACTTGAGTGACTCTTCTTTTACTTGAGTAACTCTTCTTTTACTTGAGTAACTCGTCTATTACTTGAGTGACACGTCTTTTACTTGAGTGACTCTTCTTTTACTTGAGTGACTCTTCTTTTACTTGAGTAACTCTTCTTTTACTTGAGTAACTCTTCTTTTACTTGAGTAACTCTTCTTTTACTTGAGTAACTCGTCTATTACTTGAGTGACACGTCTTTTACTTGAGTGACACGTCTTTTACTTGAGTGACTCTTCTTTTACTTGAGTAACTCGTCTATTACTTGAGTGACACGTCTTTTACTTGAGTGACTCTTCTTTTACTTGAGTAACTCGTCTTTTACTTGAGTAACTCTTCTTTTACTTGAGTAACTCTTCTTTCACTTGAGTGACTCTTCTTTTACTTGAGTGACTCTTCTTTTACTTGAGTAACTCTTCTTTTACTTGAGTAACTCTTCTTTTACTTGAGTAACTCGTCTTTTACTTGAGTAACTCGTCTTTTACTTGAGTAACTCTTCTTTCACTTGAGTAACTCGTCTTTTACTTGAGTAACTCTTCTTTCACTTGAGTGACTCGTCTTTTACTTGAGTAACTCGTCTTTTACTTGAGTGACTCTTCTTTCACTTGAGTGACTCTTCTTTTACTTGAGTAACTCTTCTTTCACTTGAGTAACTCTTCTTTTACTTGAGTAACTCGTCTTTTACTTGAGTAACTCGTCTTTTACTTGAGTAACTCGTCTTTTACTTGAGTAACTCGTCTTTTACTTGAGTAACTCGTCTTTTACTTGAGTAACTCGTCTTTTACTTGAGTGACACGTCTTTTACTTGAGTAACTCTTCTTTCACTTGAGTGACTCTTCTTTTACTTGAGTAACTCTTCTTTCACTTGAGTGACTCGTCTTTTACTTGAGTAACTCGTCTTTTACTTGAGTGACTCTTCTTTCACTTGAGTAACTCTTCTTTCACTTGAGTAACTCGTCTTTTACTTGAGTAACTCGTCTTTTACTTGAGTAACTCTTCTTTTACTTGAGTGACTCTTCTTTCACTTGAGTGACTCGTCTTTCACTTGAGTAACTCTTCTTTTACTTGAGTAACTCGTCTTTTACTTGAGTAACTCTTCTTTCACTTGAGTGACTCTTCTTTCACTTGAGTAACTCTTCTTTTACTTGAGTAACTCGTCTTTTACTTGAGTGACTCTTCTTTTACTTGAGTAACTCTTCTTTTACTTGAGTAACTCTTCTTTCACTTGAGTAACTCTTCTTTTACTTGAGTAACTCGTCTTTTACTTGAGTAACTCGTCTTTTACTTGAGTAACTCGTCTTTCACTTGAGTAACTCTTCTTTTACTTGAGTAACTCGTCTTTTACTTGAGTAACTCGTCTTTTACTTGAGTAACTCTTCTTTTACTTGAGTAACTCTTCTTTTACTTGAGTAACTCGTCTTTTACTTGAGTAACTCTTCTTTTACTTGAGTAACTCTTCTTTTACTTGAGTAACTCGTCTTTTACTTGAGTAACTCGTCTTTCACTTGAGTAACTCTTCTTTTACTTGAGTAACTCGTCTTTTACTTGAGTAACTCGTCTTTTACTTGAGTAACTCGTCTTTCACTTGAGTAACTCGTCTTTTACTTGAGTAACTCGTCTTTTACTTGAGTAACTCGTCTTTTACTTGAGTAACTCGTCTTTTACTTGAGTAACTCGTCTTTTACTTGAGTAACTCGTCTTTTACTTGAGTAACTCGTCTTTTACTTGAGTAACTCGTCTTTTACTTGAGTAACTCGTCTTTTACTTGAGTAACTCGTCTTTTACTTGAGTAACTCGTCTTTTACTTGAGTAACTCGTCTTTTACTTGAGTAACTCGTCTTTTACTTGAGTAACTCGTCTTTTACTTGAGTAACTCGTCTTTTACTTGAGTAACTCGTCTTTTACTTGAGTAACTCGTCTTTTACTTGAGTAACTCGTCTTTTACTTGAGTAACTCGTCTTTTACTTGAGTAACTCGTCTTTTACTTGAGTAACTCGTCTTTTACTTGAGTAACTCGTCTTTTACTTGAGTAACTCGTCTTTTACTTGAGTAACTCGTCTTTTACTTGAGTAACTCGTCTTTTACTTGAGTAACTCGTCTTTTACTTGAGTAACTCGTCTTTTACTTGAGTAACTCGTCTTTTACTTGAGTAACTCGTCTTTTACTTGAGTAACTCGTCTTTTACTTGAGTAACTCGTCTTTTACTTGAGTAACTCGTCTTTTACTTGAGTAACTCGTCTTTTACTTGAGTAACTCGTCTTTTACTTGAGTAACTCGTCTTTTACTTGAGTAACTCGTCTTTTACTTGAGTAACTCGTCTTTTACTTGAGTAACTCGTCTTTTACTTGAGTAACTCGTCTTTTACTTGAGTAACTCGTCTTTTACTTGAGTAACTCGTCTTTTACTTGAGTAACTCGTCTTTTACTTGAGTAACTCGTCTTTTACTTGAGTAACTCGTCTTTTACTTGAGTAACTCGTCTTTTACTTGAGTAACTCGTCTTTTACTTGAGTAACTCGTCTTTTACTTGAGTAACTCGTCTTTTACTTGAGTAACTCGTCTTTTACTTGAGTAACTCTTCTTTTACTTGAGTAACTCGTCTTTTACTTGAGTAACTCGTCTTTTACTTGAGTAACTCGTCTTTTACTTGAGTAACTCGTCTTTTACTTGAGTAACTCTTCTTTTTCTTGAGTGACTCTTCTTTCACTTGAGTGACTCGTCTTTTACTTGAGTAACTCGTCTTTCACTTGAGTAACTCGTCTTTTACTTGAGTAACTCGTCTTTTACTTGAGTAACTCGTCTTTTACTTGAGTAACTCGTCTTTCACTTGAGTAACTCGTCTTTTACTTGAGTGACTCGTCTTTTACTTGAGTAACTCGTCTTTTACTTGAGTAACTCTTCTTTTACTTGAGTAACTCGTCTTTTACTTGAGTGACTCTTCTTTTACTTGAGTAACTCGTCTTTTACTTGAGTAACTCGTCTTTTACTTGAGTAACTCTTCTTTTTCTTGAGTGACTCTTCTTTCACTTGAGTGACTCGTCTTTCACTTGAGTAACTCTTCTTTTACTTGAGTAACTCTTCTTTTACTTGAGTAACTCGTCTTTTACTTGAGTAACTCGTCTTTTACTTGAGTAACTCTTCTTTCACTTGAGTGACTCGTCTTTCACTTGAGTAACTCTTCTTTTACTTGAGTAACTCGTCTTTTACTTGAGTAACTCGTCTTTTACTTGAGTAACTCTTCTTTTACTTGAGTAACTCGTCTTTTACTTGAGTAACTCGTCTTTTACTTGAGTAACTCGTCTTTTACTTGAGTAACTCTTCTTTTACTTGAGTAACTCGTCTTTTACTTGAGTAACTCGTCTTTTACTTGAGTAACTCGTCTTTTACTTGAGTAACTCTTCTTTTACTTGAGTGACTCGTCTTTTACTTGAGTGACTCTTCTTTTACTTGAGTAACTCTTCTTTTACTTGAGTAACTCTTCTTTTACTTGAGTAACTCTGCTTTTACTTGAGTAACTCTTCTTTTACTTGAGTAACTCTTCTTTTACTTGAGTGACTCTTCTTTTTCTTGAGTAACTCTTCTTTTACTTGAGTAACTCTTCTTTTACTTGAGTAACTCTTCTTTTACTTGAGTAACTCTTCTTTTACTTGAGTAACTCTTCTTTTACTTGAGTGACTCTTCTTTTTCTTGAGTAACTCTTCTTTTACTTGAGTAACTCGTCTTTTACTTGAGTAACTCTTCTTTTACTTGAGTAACTCGTCTTTTACTTGAGTGACTCTTCTTTTTCTTGAGTAACTCTTCTTTTACTTGAGTAACTCGTCTTTTACTTGAGTAACTCTTCTTTTACTTGAGTGACTCGTCTTTTACTTGAGTGACTCTTCTTTTACTTGAGTAACTCTTCTTTTACTTGAGTAACTCTTCTTTTACTTGAGTAACTCTGCTTTTACTTAAGTAACTCTTCTTTTACTTGAGTAACTCGTCTTTTACTTGAGTGACTCTTCTTTTTCTTGAGTAACTCTTCTTTTACTTGAGTAACTCTTCTTTTACTTGAGTAACTCTTCTTTTTCTTGAGTGACTCTTCTTTTTCTTGAGTAACTCTTCTTTTACTTGAGTAACTCGTCTTTTACTTGAGTAACTCTTCTTTTACTTGAGTGACTCGTCTTTTACTTGAGTGACTCTTCTTTTACTTGAGTAACTCTTCTTTTACTTGAGTAACTCTTCTTTTACTTGAGTAACTCTGCTTTTACTTAAGTAACTCTTCTTTTACTTGAGTAACTCGTCTTTTACTTGAGTGACTCTTCTTTTTCTTGAGTAACTCTTCTTTTACTTGAGTAACTCTTCTTTTACTTGAGTAACTCGTCTTTTACTTGAGTAACTCGTCTTTTACTTGAGTAACTCTTCTTTCACTTGAGTGACTCGTCTTTCACTTGAGTAACTCTTCTTTTACTTGAGTAACTCGTCTTTTACTTGAGTAACTCGTCTTTTACTTGAGTAACTCTTCTTTTACTTGAGTAACTCGTCTTTTACTTGAGTAACTCGTCTTTTACTTGAGTAACTCGTCTTTTACTTGAGTAACTCTTCTTTTACTTGAGTAACTCGTCTTTTACTTGAGTAACTCTTCTTTTACTTGAGTGACTCTTCTTTTACTTGAGTAACTCTTCTTTTACTTGAGTAACTCTTCTTTTACTTGAGTAACTCGTCTTTTACTTGAGTAACTCGTCTATTACTTGAGTGACTCTTCTTTTACTTGAGTAACTCGTCTTTTACTTGAGTGACTCTTCTTTTACTTGAGTGACTCCTCTTTTACTTGAGTAACTCGTCTTTTACTTGAGTGACTCTTCTTTTACTTGAGTAACTCGTCTTTTACTTGAGTGACTCTTCTTTTACTTGAGTAACTCGTCTTTTACTTGAGTGACTCTTCTTTTACTTGAGTAACTCGTCTTTTACTTGAGTGACTCGTCTTTTACTTGAGTAACTCTTCTTTTACTTGAGTAACTCGTCTTTTACTTGAGTGACTCGTCTTTTACTTGAGTGACTCTTCTTTTACTTGAGTAACTCGTCTTTTACTTAAGTAACTCTTCTTTTACTTGAGTAACTCGTCTTTTACTTGAGTGACTCTTCTTTTTCTTGAGTAACTCTTCTTTTACTTGAGTAACTCTTCTTTTACTTGAGTAACTCGTCTTTTACTTGAGTAACTCGTCTTTTACTTGAGTAACTCTTCTTTCACTTGAGTGACTCGTCTTTCACTTGAGTAACTCTTCTTTTACTTGAGTAACTCGTCTTTTACTTGAGTAACTCGTCTTTTACTTGAGTAACTCTTCTTTTACTTGAGTAACTCGTCTTTTACTTGAGTAACTCGTCTTTTACTTGAGTAACTCGTCTTTTACTTGAGTAACTCGTCTTTTACTTGAGTAACTCGTCTTTTACTTGAGTAACTCGTCTTTTACTTGAGTAACTCGTCTTTTACTTGAGTAACTCGTCTTTTACTTGAGTAACTCGTCTTTTACTTGAGTAACTCGTCTTTTACTTGAGTAACTCGTCTTTTACTTGAGTAACTCGTCTTTTACTTGAGTAACTCGTCTTTTACTTGAGTAACTCGTCTTTTACTTGAGTAACTCGTCTTTTACTTGAGTAACTCGTCTTTTACTTGAGTAACTCGTCTTTTACTTGAGTAACTCGTCTTTTACTTGAGTAACTCGTCTTTTACTTGAGTAACTCGTCTTTTACTTGAGTAACTCGTCTTTTACTTGAGTAACTCGTCTTTTACTTGAGTAACTCGTCTTTTACTTGAGTAACTCGTCTTTTACTTGAGTAACTCGTCTTTTACTTGAGTAACTCGTCTTTTACTTGAGTAACTCGTCTTTTACTTGAGTAACTCGTCTTTTACTTGAGTAACTCGTCTTTTACTTGAGTAACTCGTCTTTTACTTGAGTAACTCGTCTTTTACTTGAGTAACTCGTCTTTTACTTGAGTAACTCGTCTTTTACTTGAGTAACTCGTCTTTTACTTGAGTAACTCGTCTTTTACTTGAGTAACTCGTCTTTTACTTGAGTAACTCGTCTTTTACTTGAGTAACTCGTCTTTTACTTGAGTAACTCGTCTTTTACTTGAGTAACTCGTCTTTTACTTGAGTAACTCGTCTTTTACTTGAGTAACTCGTCTTTTACTTGAGTAACTCGTCTTTTACTTGAGTAACTCGTCTTTTACTTGAGTAACTCGTCTTTTACTTGAGTAACTCGTCTTTTACTTGAGTAACTCGTCTTTTACTTGAGTAACTCGTCTTTTACTTGAGTAACTCGTCTTTTACTTGAGTAACTCGTCTTTTACTTGAGTAACTCGTCTTTTACTTGAGTAACTCGTCTTTTACTTGAGTAACTCGTCTTTTACTTGAGTAACTCGTCTTTTACTTGAGTAACTCGTCTTTTACTTGAGTAACTCGTCTTTTACTTGAGTAACTCGTCTTTTACTTGAGTAACTCGTCTTTTACTTGAGTAACTCGTCTTTTACTTGAGTAACTCGTCTTTTACTTGAGTAACTCGTCTTTTACTTGAGTAACTCGTCTTTTACTTGAGTAACTCGTCTTTTACTTGAGTAACTCGTCTTTTACTTGAGTAACTCGTCTTTTACTTGAGTAACTCGTCTTTTACTTGAGTAACTCGTCTTTTACTTGAGTAACTCGTCTTTTACTTGAGTAACTCGTCTTTTACTTGAGTAACTCGTCTTTTACTTGAGTAACTCGTCTTTTACTTGAGTAACTCGTCTTTTACTTGAGTAACTCGTCTTTTACTTGAGTAACTCGTCTTTTACTTGAGTAACTCGTCTTTTACTTGAGTAACTCGTCTTTTACTTGAGTAACTCGTCTTTTACTTGAGTAACTCGTCTTTTACTTGAGTAACTCGTCTTTTACTTGAGTAACTCGTCTTTTACTTGAGTAACTCGTCTTTTACTTGAGTAACTCGTCTTTTACTTGAGTAACTCGTCTTTTACTTGAGTAACTCGTCTTTTACTTGAGTAACTCTTCTTTTACTTGAGTAACTCGTCTTTTACTTGAGTAACTCGTCTTTTACTTGAGTAACTCGTCTTTTACTTGAGTAACTCGTCTTTTACTTGAGTAACTCTTCTTTTTCTTGAGTGACTCTTCTTTCACTTGAGTGACTCGTCTTTTACTTGAGTAACTCGTCTTTCACTTGAGTAACTCGTCTTTTACTTGAGTAACTCGTCTTTTACTTGAGTAACTCGTCTTTTACTTGAGTAACTCGTCTTTCACTTGAGTAACTCGTCTTTTACTTGAGTGACTCGTCTTTTACTTGAGTAACTCGTCTTTTACTTGAGTAACTCTTCTTTTACTTGAGTAACTCGTCTTTTACTTGAGTGACTCTTCTTTTACTTGAGTAACTCGTCTTTTACTTGAGTAACTCGTCTTTTACTTGAGTAACTCTTCTTTTTCTTGAGTGACTCTTCTTTCACTTGAGTGACTCGTCTTTCACTTGAGTGACTCTTCTTTTACTTGAGTAACTCGTCTTTTACTTGAGTGACTCTTCTTTTACTTGAGTAACTCGTCTTTTACTTGAGTGACTCGTCTTTTACTTGAGTGACTCTTCTTTCACTTGAGTGACTCGTCTTTCACTTGAGTGACTCTTCTTTTACTTGAGTAACTCGTCTTTTACTTGAGTGACTCTTCTTTTACTTGAGTAACTCTTCTTTTACTTGAGTGACTCTTCTTTTACTTGAGTAACTCTTCTTTTACTTGAGTAACTCTTCTTTTACTTGAGTAACTCGTCTTTTACTTGAGTAACTCGTCTTTTACTTGAGTGACTCGTCTTTTACTTGAGTGACTCTTCTTTTACTTGAGTGACTCTTCTTTTACTTGAGTAACTCGTCTTTTACTTGAGTAACTCTTCTTTTACTTGAGTAACTCGTCTTTTACTTGAGTAACTCGTCTTTTACTTGAGTAACTCGTCTTTTACTTGAGTGACTCTTCTTTTACTTGAGTAACTCGTCTTTTACTTGAGTAACTCTTCTTTTACTTGAGTAACTCTTCTTTTACTTGAGTGACTCTTCTTTTACTTGAGTAACTCTTCTTTTACTTGAGTAACTCTTCTTTTACTTGAGTAACCCGTCTTTTACTTGAGTGACTCGTCTTTCACTTGAGTAACTCGTCTTTTACTTGAGTAACTCGTCTTTTACTTGAGTGACTCGTCTTTTACTTGAGTGACTCGTCTTTTACTTGAGTAACTCGTCTTTTACTTGAGTAACTCGTCTTTTACTTGAGTGACTCTTCTTTTACTTGAGTAACTCGTCTTTTACTTGAGTAACTCGTCTTTTACTTGAGTAACTCTTCTTTTACTTGAGTAACTCGTCTTTTACTTGAGTGACTCTTCTTTTTCTTGAGTGACTCGTCTTTTACTTGAGTGACTCTTCTTTTACTTGAGTAACTCGTCTTTTACTTGAGTAACTCGTCTTTTACTTGAGTGACTCTTCTTTTTCTTGAGTGACTCGTCTTTTACTTGAGTGACTCTTCTTTTACTTGAGTGACTCTTCTTTTTCTTGAGTAACTCGTCTTTTACTTGAGTAACTCGTCTTTTACTTGAGTAACTCGTCTTTTACTTGAGTGACTCTTCTTTTACTTGAGTAACTCGTCTTTTACTTGAGTGACTCTTCTTTTTCTTGAGTGACTCGTCTTTTACTTGAGTGACTCTTCTTTTACTTGAGTAACTCGTCTTTTACTTGAGTAACTCGTCTTTTACTTGAGTGACTCTTCTTTTTCTTGAGTGACTCGTCTTTTACTTGAGTGACTCTTCTTTTACTTGAGTGACTCTTCTTTTTCTTGAGTAACTCGTCTTTTACTTGAGTAACTCGTCTTTTACTTGAGTAACTCTTCTTTTACTTGAGTAACTCGTCTTTTACTTGAGTGACTCTTCTTTTACTTGAGTGACTCTTCTTTTACTTGAGTAACTCGTCTTTTACTTGAGTGACTCTTCTTTTTCTTGAGTGACTCTTCTTTTACTTGAGTGACTCGTCTTTTACTTGAGTGACTCGTCTTTTACTTGAGTGACTCTTCTTTCACTTGAGTGACTCGTCTTTTACTTGAGTAACTCGTCTTTTACTTGAGTAACTCGTCTTTTACTTGAGTGACTCTTCTTTTACTTGAGTGACTCGTCTTTTACTTGAGTGACTCTTCTTTTACTTGAGTGACTCTTCTTTTACTTGAGTGACTCGTCTTTTACTTGAGTGACTCGTCTTTTACTTGAGTGACTCTTCTTTTACTTGAGTGACTCTTCTTTTACTTGAGTGACTCTTCTTTTACTTGAGTGACTCTTCTTTTACTTGAGTGACTCGTCTTTTACTTGAGTGACTCGTCTTTTACTTGAGTGACTCTTCTTTTACTTGAGTAACTCGTCTTTTACTTGAGTGACTCTTCTTTTACTTGAGTGACTCTTCTTTTACTTGAGTAACTCGTCTTTTACTTGAGTGACTCTTCTTTTTCTTGAGTGACTCTTCTTTTACTTGAGTGACTCGTCTTTTACTTGAGTGACTCGTCTTTTACTTGAGTGACTCTTCTTTCACTTGAGTGACTCGTCTTTTACTTGAGTGACTCGTCTTTTACTTGAGTGACTCTTCTTTTACTTGAGTGACTCTTCTTTCACTTGAGTGACTCGTCTTTTACTTGAGTGACTCGTCTTTTACTTGAGTGACTCGTCTTTTACTTGAGTGACTCTTCTTTTACTTGAGTAACTCGTCTTTTTCTTGAGTGACTCTTCTTTTTCTTGAGTAACTCGTCTTTTACTTGAGTGACTCGTCTTTTACTTGAGTGACTCGTCTTTTACTTGAGTGACTCTTCTTTTACTTGAGTGACTCGTCTTTTACTTGAGTAACTCTTCTTTTACTTGAGTGACTCTTCTTTCACTTGAGTGACTCGTCTTTTACTTGAGTGACTCTTCTTTTACTTGAGTGACTCTTCTTTTACTTGAGTGACTCTTCTTTTACTTGAGTGACTCTTCTTTTACTTGAGTAACTCTTCTTTTACTTGAGTGACTCGTCTTTTACTTGAGTAACTCTTCTTTTACTTGAGTGACTCTTCTTTTACTTGAGTGACTCTTCTTTTACTTGAGTGACTCTTCTTTTACTTGAGTGACTCTTCTTTTACTTGAGTGACTCGTCTTTTACTTGAGTAACTCTTCTTTTACTTGAGTGACTCTTCTTTTACTTGAGTGACTCTTCTTTTACTTGAGTGACTCGTCTTTTACTTGAGTAACTCTTCTTTTACTTGAGTAACTCTTCTTTTACTTGAGTAACTCTTCTTTTACTTGAGTAACTCTTCTTTTACTTGAGTGACTCGTCTTTTACTTGAGTAACTCGTCTTTTACTTGAGTGACTCGTCTTTTTCTTGAGTGACTCGTCTTTTACTTGAGTGACTCGTCTTTTACTTGAGTGACTCGTCTTTTACTTGAGTGACTCGTCTTTTACTTGAGTAACTCGTCTTTTACTTGAGTGACTCGTCTTTTACTTGAGTGACTCGTCTTTTACTTGAGTGACTCGTCTTTTACTTGAGTAACTCGTCTTTTACTTGAGTAACTCGTCTTTTACTTGAGTGACTCTTCTTTTTCTTGAGTAACTCGTCTTTTTCTTGAGTAACTCGTCTTTTACTTGAGTGACTCGTCTTTTACTTGAGTGACTCGTCTTTTACTTGAGTGACTCTTCTTTTTCTTGAGTAACTCGTCTTTTACTTGAGTGACTCTTCTTTTACTTGAGTGACTCGTCTTTTACTTGAGTGACTCGTCTATTACTTGAGTGACTCTTCTTTTACTTGAGTGACTCTTCTTTTACTTGAGTGACTCGTCTTTTACTTGAGTAACTCTTCTTTTTCTTGAGTAACTCGTCTTTTACTTGAGTGACTCGTCTTTTACTTGAGTGACTCGTCTTTTACTTGAGTGACTCGTCTATTACTTGAGTGACTCTTCTTTTACTTGAGTGACTCTTCTTTTACTTGAGTGACTCGTCTTTTACTTGAGTGACTCGTCTTTTACTTGAGTGACTCGTCTTTTACTTGAGTGACTCTTCTTTTACTTGAGTGACTCGTCTTTTACTTGAGTGACTCGTCTTTTACTTGAGTGACTCGTCTTTTACTTGAGTGACTCTTCTTTTACTTGAGTGACTCGTCTTTTTCTTGAGTAACTCGTCTTTTACTTGAGTAACCCGTCTTTTACTTGAGTGACTCTTCTTTTACTTGAGTGACTCTTCTTTTACTTGAGTGAGTCGTCTTTTACTTGAGTGACTCGTCTTTTACTTGAGTGACTCTTCTTTTACTTGAGTAACCCGTCTTTTACTTGAGTGAGTCGTCTTTTACTTGAGTGAGTCGTCTTTTACTTGAGTGACTCTTCTTTTACTTGAGTGACTCTTCTTTTACTTGAGTGAGTCGTCTTTTACTTGAGTGACTCTTCTTTTACTTGAGTGACTCTTCTTTTACTTGAGTAACCCGTCTTTTACTTGAGTGACTCTTCTTTTACTTGAGTAACTCGTCTTTTACTTGAGTGACTCGTCTTTTACTTGAGTGACTCGTCTTTTACTTGAGTGACTCTTCTTTTACTTGAGTGACTCGTCTTTTACTTGAGTAACTCGTCTTTTACTTGAGTGACTCGTCTTTTACTTGAGTTACTCGTCTTTTACTTGAGTGACTCGTCTATTACTTGAGTGACTCTTCTTTTACTTGAGTGACTCTTCTTTTACTTGAGTGACTCGTCTTTTACTTGAGTGACTCGTCTTTTACTTGAGTGACTCGTCTTTTACTTGAGTGACTCGTCTTTTACTTGAGTGACTCGTCTTTTACTTGAGTAACTCTTCTTTTACTTGAGTAACTCGTCTTTTACTTGAGTGACTCGTCTTTTACTTGAGTAACTCGTCTTTTACTTGAGTAACTCGTCTTTTACTTGAGTAACTCTTCTTTTACTTGAGTTACTCGTCTTTTACTTGAGTAACTCTTCTTTTACTTGAGTAACTCTTCTTTTACTTGAGTAACTCTTCTTTTACTTGAGTAACTCGTCTTTTACTTGAGTGACTCGTCTTTTACTTGAGTTACTCGTCTTTTACTTGAGTAACTCTTCTTTTACTTGAGTAACTCGTCTTTTACTTGAGTAACTCGTCTTTTACTTGAGTAACTCTTCTTTTACTTGAGTAACTCGTCTTTTACTTGAGTAACTCGTCTTTTACTTGAGTAACTCGTCTTTTACTTGAGTAACTCTTCTTTTACTTGAGTAACTCGTCTTTTACTTGAGTAACTCTTCTTTTACTTGAGTAACTCGTCTTTTACTTGAGTGACTCGTCTTTTACTTGAGTGACTCGTCTTTTACTTGAGTAACTCTTCTTTTACTTGAGTAACTCGTCTTTTACTTGAGTAACTCTTCTTTTACTTGAGTAACTCGTCTTTTACTTGAGTAACTCGTCTTTTACTTGAGTGACTCGTCTTTTACTTGAGTAACTCGTCTTTTACTTGAGTAACTCGTCTTTTACTTGAGTAACTCGTCTTTTACTTGAGTAACTCGTCTTTTACTTGAGTGACTCGTCTTTTACTTGAGTAACTCGTCTTTTACTTGAGTAACTCGTCTTTTACTTGAGTAACTCGTCTTTTACTTGAGTAACTCGTCTTTTACTTGAGTGACTCGTCTTTTACTTGAGTGACTCGTCTTTTACTTGAGTAACTCGTCTTTTACTTGAGTAACTCTTCTTTTACTTGAGTAACTCTTCTTTTACTTGAGTAACTCTTCTTTTACTTGAGTGACTCGTCTTTTACTTGAGTAACTCGTCTTTTACTTGAGTAACTCGTCTTTTACTTGAGTAACTCGTCTTTTACTTGAGTAACTCGTCTTTTACTTGAGTGACTCGTCTTTTACTTGAGTAACTCGTCTTTTACTTGAGTAACTCGTCTTTTACTTGAGTAACTCGTCTTTTACTTGAGTGACTCTTCTTTTACTTGAGTGACTCTTCTTTTACTTGAGTAACCCGTCTTTTACTTGAGTGACTCTTCTTTTACTTGAGTGACTCGTCTTTTACTTGAGTGACTCGTCTTTTACTTGAGTGACTCGTCTTTTACTTGAGTGACTCTTCTTTTACTTGAGTAACTCGTCTTTTACTTGAGTGACTCGTCTTTTACTTGAGTGACTCGTCTTTTACTTGAGTGACTCGTCTTTTACTTGAGTGACTCGTCTTTTACTTGAGTTACTCGTCTTTTACTTGAGTTACTCGTCTTTTACTTGAGTGACTCGTCTATTACTTGAGTGACTCTTCTTTTACTTGAGTGACTCTTCTTTTACTTGAGTGACTCGTCTTTTACTTGAGTGAGTCGTCTTTTACTTGAGTGACTCGTCTTTTACTTGAGTGACTCGTCTTTTACTTGAGTGTCTCGTCTTTTACTTGAGTGACTCGTCTTTTACTTGAGTGACTCGTCTTTTACTTGAGTGAGTCGTCTTTTACTTGAGTGACTCGTCTTTTACTTGAGTGACTCGTTATTTACTTGAGTGGCTTGTGGTTTACTTGAGTGACTCGACTCGTGGTTTACTTGACTGAGACGAGGTTTACTTGTGTGACTTCGAGTTTTCTAATGTTTAGATTGAAATTTAAAAAAAGAAAACAACATCAAAAAGATGTATTTATTTATATCCTCAACTTCAGCAGTAATTTAAACATGAAAACGTCTCCTAAACTTCAACAGTAATTTAAACATGAAAACTTCTCCTAAACTTCAGCAGTAATTTAAACATGAAAACTTCTCCTAAACTTCAGCAGTAATTTAAATATAAAAAACTCTCTTAACTTCAACTCATCAGAGCGTACAATGCAAAGAAAATCTTTCTCTGACTCTTCAGTGCCACCGAATGCAAGGCCCTCAGCAGCCGACTTGCCATCCTGGTCAAAGGAAAGCTGATCTACGACGGCAGTCCGAAGGATATCATGGTCAGACACGCCCATGGTCTCACAGTGACCATCCACGCCAAGACGGACGACAAGGGTCAGCCTGTGCCACTCGTTGATGTGGTGTTGTATGTCAAAGAAGGGTTCCCACAGACGAAGGTGAGTCTAGTGATAAGTCTGCTGATTGAACAAACAGTCAGTCTGGTGTTTGAACAAAAGTTCAGTCTGGTGTTTGAACAAAAGTTCAGTCTGGTGTTTGAACAAAAGTTCAGTCTGGTGTTTGAACAAAAGTTCAGTCTGGTGTTTGAACAAAAGTTCAGTCTGGTGTTTGAACAAAAGTTCAGAGTGGTGTTTGAAGAAAAGGTGAGCCTGGTATTTTAACAAAAGGTAAGCATGTTGATTTAACAAAGGGTAAGACTGTCGATTTAACAAAAGGTAAGTCTGTTGATTTAAGAAAAGGTCTGGATGTTGATTTAACAAAAGGTACGTCTGTTGATTTAAGAAAAGGTCTGGATGTTGATTTAACAAAAGGTAAGTCTGTTGATTTAAGAAAAGGTCTGGATGTTGATTTAACAAAAGGTACGTCTGTTGATTTAAGAAAAGGTCTGGATGTTGATTTAACAAAAGGTAAGTCTGTTGATATAAGAAAAGGTCTGGTGTTTTAATAAAAGGTAGGTCTGGTGTTTTAAATCCTCAAGGTCTGGGATTATTCTTCTACGATTTTAAGCTGGTGCCCAACAGCAAACCGCCTCTCTCCACGCCGCTGGATAACCCAAAGGAACATCATGTGTATGATACAGCTTGGCACCAGTGGCGTCGCAGGATTTGTCGGAATGTTATCCGCCTAAGGACTGCATCTCCGGGTTTGAATTCAGAGTTTCCTTCTCTTAGGTGATTTGCCATCCCAAGGTTAACGAGTCCCATCCACCCGGTGTTCTGATGATGTTTTTGCTTGATTTGGCTTTGGTGGGGATTGAACTCTAGACCATCAACTTGAGATTTGCTCGGCCACCCAGCACCCACAGTCGGGTCTTTTAACAACCGAATAATGAAAGAAAACCGGTTCATTTAATCAATAGGATGATATTTAATTTAAAGAATAAGAATTTGCTACATGAATGTTGTACAAAATACAGAGAACATAGTGATACTAGTGGTAGATTACACAGAAAAACGATGAAAGAACATGACAGAAGACACATCGAACAGCTTAGGTATTAATACACTTGGTCAGGTAAATTTCGTTTGAAATGTCTCCCGCTAGCTCATGTGAAAATATATGATGGTAATGTCTTACAGAAATGATCCCCCCCCCCAACCTTGATGTTAATGTTTTGAAGAAATGATTCCCCCTACCCCACCCCCCAAAAAAAATACAACAAAAAAACAAAAACAAAAACAAAAACAACAACCCTTATCAAGTTACATACGAGATTTTCAATGGCTGATCCCAATATCCAGAGCAGCAGTTCTCAACCTGACTGATGCCGCCACCCTTTAATACAAATCCTCAGGTGTGGCGACCCCCCAGCCACAAAATTATTTCCGTTGTTGCTTCATAACTGTAGAGCATATATGTTTTACGATTGTCCTAGGCGACCCCTGTGAAAGGGTCGTCCGGCTCCCAAAGGGGTCGCGACCCACAGGTTGAGAACCGCGGCTTCAGAGGCTCAAAGAGTTGTGTGTTGTTCACAGGTTGTATTTTGGTAAAAACAATAGTTGTGTTTTTAGAATTTAGTGCTCACCTTTGTTGTTGTTGTTGCTACTTTAAATAAGTTTTTTTTTCAGTTGTGAATAGGGGACAAGTTGTGGTGAACCATTTGTGTAAAGGGCATTTCCGAAAACGTATTTGAAACAATATGTGTTTGAAGGTTTTAGTCGATATAATTCTAAAATCATTGTAAAATTGTGACATAAATATCAGCATGATACACGATTTTATCCCCAAAATACCTTTATGTAACATATATATATTTATATAAATATATATATAAATATATATATATATATATATATATATATATATATATATATATGTTCACTTTANTATATATATATATATAGGACCAATTACCATTGCTTCATTTAAATGCCTTCGATTTCTTTAACCAACTGCATCCTATTATTTTACAGTTGATAGCTGAAGGGGAAGAGAGTGTTCACCTGTATGTCCCCATCAACAACAAACCAATCTACCGACTGTTCGCCACCCTCCAGATGGCCCACCACAAAATTGGCTTTGAAAAATTCTTGATCCGCTACACCACGATGGAGGATGTGTACACCATGTTTCAGCACGTGACTTGATTGTTTGACATGAGCGTAGCCAACCTTGACATTAAAGATAATTTTAAGACTGAAGTTTAAGATGCGATAAACGTGATTTTTGAATGTTCTCACTATGATTTGGAAATAGTTTTATAAGTCTGAACATTAAATCGCACTTTTCAAAAAAGAAAGATTCGACTGATCTTTATCAAATCATGATAATTTATAGAACTGATAGAGCGCGTGGCTAGTCTTGAGGCGCCTTCTAGGCTCTAGGGCACATGTGTCAAACTCAAGGCCCGCGGACCACATCCGGCCCGCCGTACAATTATATCAGGCCCGCGAGGTTTTCACCGGCGTAAAATTAGATCCAAATCAACAGTATGGTGTTTACCAATGCACACTTTGCTGAAAAACTTAGCTTACTTAGCGCCGAGTTCGCACGGTGCTTTAGTGACATTAAAGCACAGAAAAGCTATTAAGAGCTGTTTCTTAAATGATTTGTCTTAGATGTGGAAACTGCACCTGTAAATTTGCAGATGGAGCTAATAGAGCTGCAGTGTAGTGAGACACTAAAGTTCGTGTCTTATTAATCTATGGGGACACTAAAGGCAAAGTACGGCACAGTTGGGCCTTCACAGTTCACTCGTTTCATTCCCGAAGAGATGCCCCAGCTTCGTCTACATGCGGCTCGAACCTTGAGCATGTTGGGTAGCACACATATGTGTGAGCAGCTGTTTTCTGTGATGAAGATTAACAAAACATCACACGTGAGTCGTCTCACTTATGAACACGTGCAGTCCATCATGAGAATCTCAATGATACAGAACGTTACTCCCAACAAAAGCGAACCTACTTGTTTTGTAGCCAAGAAAAGATCCGACAAATTAGCATAAGAATGAAAATGGTTATGCCAATAATTTTTAATTATTATAAGATTTTTCTGTTTTCATTTACATAAATATTATTTTTTTAAAAATATAAATTTTCCGCTCATTGAATGTTTATCCTGTTCGGCCCGCAACCTTACATGTGATTTGAGTTCTGGACCGCCGAGCGATTGAGTTTTATACCCTTGCCCTGGGGTATTATTATTATTATTATTATAAGTGGTTTTTATATAGCGTTGTACCCCAGTCTAGGGCCGGGCTCACCACGCTGTAACATGAAACTTAACAAACATAACCAAAAAACTTAAAAAATTAATTTATTAACACATATTAATTAAATTAAACAAAACAAAGGTATATATAAAACTATTTACATGTCAAGCCGTGGACGACACCCAGCAGCATCGTTTTACGGTCAGAGGTGGGAATCAGTCAGGATGGTAGAGTTTAAAAGGATGTGTTTTGAGTGCAGTTTTGAAGGCTGTGATGGTCGGTATATTGCGGATGTGCAATGGAAGAGAATTCCATTGTTTGGGGGGGGGGGGGCACAGAGAGAGGGAACGATCGTTCAAGGTATGTTTTTGTGCGAGTCTTGGGGACAGAAAAAATACGAGGATGGTAGAGTTTAAAAGGATGTGTTTTGAGTGCAGTTTTGAAGGCTGTGATGGTCGGTATATTGCGGATGTGCAATGGAAGAGAATTCCATTGTTTGGGGGGGTGGGGGCACAGAGAGAGAGAACGATCGTTCACAGTATGTTTTTGTGCGAGTCTTGGGGACAGAAAGAATACGCGGAGGAACGAAGCTGTCGAAGGTATGAATAGACAAGGAGAAGTTCAGTTAGATAGGAAGGGGAGGAATTCGAGAAAAAGGTGTGACAGATAGCAGAGAGTTTGTAGTCAGACCGTGTTTGTACAGGGGGCCTATCTTCCTACCTAAAAATACTCATTCTAAAGAAAGGGGAAGTAGCTTGGAAATTTTCGACAGGTAGGAAAACTAAAAAGGCTTCACGATTCTAAGATCCTTCTTTACGTCATCTTGCTGTGACAGCAGTAAAGTTAATTTATCTTTTCTTCTTGAATTTCAAATATTTTTAAATAGAAAGCGCCTGTCACTCATCCTCTGTACGGCTGGAAGAAAGCGCCTGTCACTCATCATTTGGACGGCTAGAAGTGAGCGCCTGTCACTCATCCTCCGTATGGCTGGAAATAAAGCCATTGACACACATCCTCCGTATGGCTGGAAGTAAAGCCATTGACACTCATCTTCTGTTGAAGCAAGTGTACGCGTTGGAATTCACAAGCTGGTGACTTCGAGGCTTGTTCGGCTTTGAGGCAAGATGCACATGCCCTAACGTATACTCTGAGGCAAGATGCACATGCCCTAACGTATACTCTGAGGCAAGATGCACATGCCCTAACGTATACTCTGAGGCAAGATGCACATGCCCTAACGTATACTCTGAGGCAAGATGCATCTGCCCTAACGTAGACTCTGAGGCAAGATGCACCTGCCCTAACGTAGACTCTGAGGCAAGATGCACATGCCCTAACGTAGACTCTGAGGCAAGATGCACCTGGCCTAACGTAGACTCTGAGCCAAGATGCATCTGCCCTAACGTAGACTCTGAGGCAAGATGCACCTGCCCTAACTTTGACTCTGAGGCAAGATGCACATGCCCTAACGTAGACTCTGAGGCAAGATGCACATGCCCTAACTTAGACTCTGAGGCACGATACACCTGGCCTAACGTAGACTCTGAGGCAAGATGCATCTGCCCTAACTTTGACTCTGAGGCAAGATGCACCTGCCCTAACGTAGACTCTGAGGCAAGATGGACCTGCCCTAACGTAGACGCCGGTAAAACTGGGTAGAGGACTCAACTAATTATAACAGCAGCTGATTTACTGGGTGCAATAGACTGGGAGTGCCACTAGGGAACAGGTTCACACTAGGCGGTGACTTTTGCTTGAATAACCACAACACTTGCAAAGGACATAGACTGTGCAAAGGACATAGACTGTGCAAAAGACATAGACTGTGCAAAAGACATAGACTGTGCAAAGGACATAGACTGTGCAAAAGACATAGACTGTGCAAAGGACATAGACTGTGCAAAGGAGATAGACTGTGCAAAGGACATAGACTGTGCAAAGGACATAGACTGTGCAAAGGAGATAGACTGTGCAAAGGACATAGACTGTGCAAAGGACATAGACTGTGCAAAGGACATAGACTGTGCAAAGGACATAGACTGTGCAAAGGACATAGACTGTGCAAAAGACATAGACTGTGCAAAGGACATAGACTGTGCAAAGGACATAGACTGTGCAAAGGACATAGACTGTGCAAAGGACATAGACTGTGCAAAGGACATAGACTGTGCAAAGGACATAGACTGTGCAAAGGACATAGACTGTGCAAAGGACATAGACTGTGCAAAGGACATAGACTGTGCAAAGGACATAGACTGTGCAAAGGACATAGACTGTGCAAAGGACATAGACTGTGCAAAGGAGATAGACTGTGCAAAGGACATAGACTGTGCAAAGGAGATAGACTGTGCAAAGGACATAGACTGTGCAAAGGAGATAGACTGTGCAAAGGACATAGACTGTGCCAAGGAGATAGACTGTGCAAAGGACATAGACTGTGCAAAGGAGATAGACTGTGCAAAGGACATAGACTGTGCAAAGGAGATAGACTGTGCAAAAGACATAGACTGTGCAAAGGAGATAGACTGTGCAAAGGAGATAGACTGTGCAAAAGACATAGACTGTGCAAAGGAGATAGACTGTGCAAAGGACATAGACTGTGCAAAAGACATAGACTGTGCAAAGGACATAGACTGTGCAAAGGACATAGACTGTGCAAAGGACATAGACTGTGCAAAGGACATAGACTGTGCAAAGGACATAGACTGTGCAAAGGACATAGACTGTGCAAAGGACATAGACTGTGCAAAGGACATAGACTGTGCAAAGGACATAGACTGTGCAAAGGACATAGACTGGGCAAAGGACATAGACTGTGCAAAGGACATAGACTGTGCAAAGGACATAGACTGTACAAAGGACATAGACTGGGCAAAGGACATTGATTGTGCAAAGTTGAGTGAGTTATTACTTAAACCATTTCTCTGAACAGTGAGCTCGAAATCCCTACATTGACGCAAATGAAGCGCTGCTACTTGAAATCTCTTTGGTCTACTTGTTATCATGAGCCTCGTGTGAATAGGTCTGGGGTAGGAATGAATCTGCTTGGGTGGTAATATTAATGTGGCCGGCCATGCGATCGAGCTGCTTCAAGAAGTCCCTTCTCTATTTGGAGGGCCCACGCTCCATGTATCAATGTCTCAACTAGCATGCAGACCCAATAACGAAATGACATATGCAAATTTTATGTAGAAATAAACGGATGTGACGTTAAAATCTAGTTTAATGTTTAAAAAAAAAAACTTTTTAAACATTCTATTATACACATTCATAGATTCGATCAAACCAATAATTAGTGCATGGTCTATTTTATCACAAATAGTGAAGTGTGAACAAATTAAAAGTAAATAGTTTTAGCGAGGGTGTTTAAACACATCCAAGAACACACGTTAATATAATCAAATTATGTTGACATAAAATTCAGCAGACATGAACACATGAATGAATTAGGACAAAGGCCACAGCGACATCAAAATGTCGCATTCTACGGGAATAACCTGTCACGTGACATCTGCAAATAGTATAGCTTCTCGGGCGGACACAATTCTGTATGTAACATATTACAAATATGTTGAGAGGCCTGAAATAAAACATGAGTTTACCGCTAGGGCACTGTCCGCTAGGGCACAGTCTCCTGCGTGGAATGCTATCATCCCCTAGGGCACTGTCTCCTGTGTGACATATTAATCACCCGCTAGGGCACTGTCTCCTGCGTGACATACTTTCATGCCAATAGGGCACTGTCTCCTGCGTGACATACTTTCATGCCAATAGGGCACTGTCTCCTGCGTGACATACTTTCATGCCAATAGGGCACTGTCTCCTGCGTGACATACTTTCATGCCAATTGTGGATTGAACATTTTCTTTTCAGTACACAAGTGATGGTTACTATAAGAAAACTCGCTTAATTCACGGAAACGAAACCATCTTACACTGCATGTTTTGTGTGTGTGTGTGTGGGGGGGGGGGGAGGGGGTTTGTTGTTGTTGTTTTTTTTGAGGGGGAGGGGCATTCATTGACATCCTGTCTTCCATAGAATACTTTTATGCGAACATCGCTGCTCGTACAGCAAATACTATGAAGTAAGAGTTCAGATCGAAATGTCTAACATGAAGCCCAGCGTTACAGCCGACCAGACAGCCAGGAACACAATAAAGGAGACAAAGTCGATGTACTTCCCGATCAGCTTGTACTTGCTGGGTTTCGGTTTCGATATCTTTACGCCGTCCACCTCGACGCCGTTTTCAGCCTCATGGTTGTCTCCCATGCCGTGGGACAGAGGCGGCGCCTCGGATTGCTCTGCGAGGGTCGCAGCCGATGCGAAACTTAACCGTTGAGTTTTTGGGTTGTCTTGTTTTGTGTCCCTTGGCGCCTGAAACACCGAGACGGCACGTCGCAGTTGGGCTACCTTGGAGACGGCGCTGCTGTACCTCGCCTTCACTTTCTGGTGCTTCACTTCTTTCTGCAAGGTGAAAATAGTAACATTTATATAAATAAACTCTACGTATGTTCTAGGGGGCCAAGACCCGTGCGTTAAATATTGCCGTGAAAGGGCAAACAGAAAATGGATTTTTATTACCTAAGACTATAAAGTGCCATGATTTTGAACAGAGATAACAAGGGGGAACAAATGCTCATTTAGTAACTTTTCAAAGTTTGTGTTGCTTCCAAGAAATTAGCGGTGAGCCTAGGTTGAGCACCGATGACGTTTGTGATTTGTTTCAATGACCTCTTAAACTACTGACCTCCTCCAGGTGATGCAGGTAGACGATGACGATGCTGACGATGACGGTCAGCATGGAGATGATGAGCAGGATGAACAGGTACAAGGTGACCTTGGGTATTTTACTGGATGACCTCGGCAACATGCTTCCGATGATGCTCATAAAGACGGACAGAGCCAATAGGACGGTTATACCTGGTGATGGGACACTTACATACATAGAAGTAAATACTATAATAGAAATATACGGCGTGTGCTAAATAAATCTTATTTTAAAAAGGGTCGGACACTGTTTTAAATGGTTTAAATCAATACCGAATTGATGCACAAACAAAGGGAAGCAACTTACCGTAACCGATTTTCTCCCCTGAATCAGCCGGAATGACAAAGACGAGGATGTTGAGGAATGAGAGAAAGATCACAGGAAGGACGATGTTGACCAGGAGGAAATAAGGGCGTCTCTTGAGGGTAAATTGAATCTGGAACAGCCAGAAAGGAGATGACGTCATATTACGGTTTCTGCGCCCCACACCCCAATAAGAAATTCTACAAATTCATCAACCTATTGCATTCTTTAGAACAGATAAAACGTAGACAACCTTTTCCCAATCAAGTGAGGGGTGGGTTAGTACAGCGCTACATATTTAATTGGTGTCGTCAATATCCAACTATACATAAAGGAAGACAAGTGGTAGTCGCCACAACGCATATGTTGAAGTAAAATGAGGTCCAAACACATGCTTTTTCAGTAATCGTCTAGTCCACATCAGTAGTTCTCAATCTTCCTAATGCCGCGACCCTTTAATACAGTTCCTTATGTTGTGGTGACCCCAACCATAAAAGTATTTTCGTTGCTGCTGCATAAATATGTGTTTTCCGATGGTCTAAGGCGACCCGTGTTTAACAGGTTGACAAACCGACAGTATAAGTCAATGCTTTCCAAACTTTTTATGTTAGCTATACACACTTTTTGAAATACATTATTTGGGACACTGTAAGTTGGGTATAATGGACACTATTAGTTGGTACACACAAAACAAAATAGTATTCACGAAAAGCTACTTACCACTAGACAAAGAATTTTCTGTGGGCAATGTTAGCTAGGCAAAAATTTGCAAATAATCTTGATTGAAGAGATCAGCTTTTAGTGTAATTGACCATTTGCACATATTCGTCCATAATTTAACTTCATGTCCAGCGGAAATATTGGGTCTAATAATTGTGCGCATGTTGGCATGTGTTGGTATGAACTTTTTTGACATGACACACGTACACCAAGCAGGCGACACACTGCTGTGTCGGAACTCACCGTTCGGAAAGCACTGGCCTTCAGCAATGACAGTTTACATTAACGACAGTCATCATCTGTGACCGTTTATATCTATGACCGGTATGCAGCTTTCATATTTTGCTGTCGTGACAGCAAGTGACAGGTATCATTTGTGACAGTCTATATCTATGACGGTCTGCAGCTATTCATATTTTGCTGTTATGACAACAAGTGACAGGTATCATTTGTGACAGTTTATATCTATGACGGTCTGAAGCTTTCACAGTTTGCCGTCGTGACAGTTAACATCTGTGACAATCTACAGCTCAATCATTCTTCCATTTTTTTTAGACTAAATATTTTATAGTGCGATGGCTTTGACAGCCCACGACTATAATAATCTAAAAACCCAGATCGGTTATTCTCAACTGCTGTTGGTCGATCGATCTATTCACAGATCTATTGGTACTTTCTCCAAACATCAAAAAGGCAACGAGCAAAACAAATTATCGGAAAACATGTTAAAAATTACTAAAAAAAAAACAAAAACAAAAAACAATGAACGTGCCGACAAGAAGCCTTCTTCAGCTCACAAGCAGCGGTTAAAATAAAATAAAATAAAAAGAACATTTGGTTGCAAGAAGAATGTCCAAGAACATTGTTAGGTGAGAGGACACCAAAAAGAATATCCCAGATCATTGGTAGGTGAGAGGACACAAAAAAGAATGTCCAAGAAAATTGGTAGTTGAGAGGACACCAAAAAGAATGTCCCAGATCATTGGTAGGTGAGAGGACACCAAAAAGAATGTCCAGATCATTGGTAGGTGAGAGGACACCAAAAAAGAATGTCCCATATCATTGGTAGGTGAGAGGACACCAACAAGAATGTCCCAGATCATTGGTAGGTGAGAGGACACAAAAAAGAATGTCCAAGAACATTGGTAGGTGAGAGGAGACCAAAAAGAATATCCCAGATCATTGGTAGGTGAGAGGACACAAAAAAGAATGTCCAAGAAAATTGGTAGTTGAGAGGACACCAAAAAGAATGTCCCAGATCATTGGTAGGTGAGAGGACACCAAAAAGAATGTCCAGATCATTGGTAGGTGAGAGGACACCAAAAAAGAATGTCCCAGATCATTGGTAGGTGAGAGGACACCAAGAAGAATGTCCCAGATCATTGGTAGGTGAGAGGACACAAAAAAGAATGTCCAAGAACATTGGTAGGTGAGAGGAGACAAAAAAGAATGTCCAAGAACATTGGTAGGTGAGAGGACACCAAAAAGAATGTCTCAGATCATTGGTAGGTGAAAGATTTAATACAGGTAAAACGGGACTGGAGAGAGGAAAAGTAAGTCAACTGCGATTTTTCGTAACGAGGAGGGGCCGTAGAAAAGGTTTTAAAGGTGAATGAGAACATGAAAGTCATGCCTTGTGGTGTATAGGTTCAATAAGTCTAGATCAGCTTGTTTTCCAGATTTACCCGGATTGGTGTCTTTGTACAAGACACAATAGCTGTGACAGCAAAAACCGCTGAACTCTTGTGGTCGCTTCTATTGGCGAATTTTGAGACGGTAAACAGCTTAACTTGCTCCATATTACAGAGATGTTTCGTACATCTGTCAGAGAGACGGCGGCCTGTCTCATCTAGTTACGACGTCTGGCAGTGGTAGCAAACTATTGCGTAGACAATATTGCAGCTAGATCAAAGGAAATCATCCCATATCGAAAAACTGCAATTTTTGGAAGGGAATTCGTTGAGTCTGGATGACAAAAAGCAAGTGTGGCAACGGCTGCGTCCACATGGTTGGGTCCCAAAATGGGGGTGGGGGGCGTTGTTGATGTGACATCTCACACGGAGGTCTCGCAGATTTTTTAACCCGTGTGAAAGCAATGAGAGGCTGGGAAGAGGAAATGTCATTTGTGTCAGGGGTCAGCGAGCAGAATAGCACGGTTTGTTAAGAAAAACATATTTGGCTATTAGATTGTCAGGACGGTAGGTGAGCCGTTCCACGGAAGCGCTGCCATGGAATATTGGTGGCGTTCACATGGGGTTTGCCTCTTTGTGGCATGGCGGACAGGTAGTGTGGACTTGTTCTCCCAAAGCAAAAAAAAACAAACAACAACACGGGCCGATGGCATGACTCCTAAAACAACGGGAAACGTAATAACATGATTACTTGTTGCCATTAATAAGGCTTGGGTGGCAGTGAAAACCCATGCTGATGATTTTAACTACGCAGCCCTTGTAAGCTGGTCCGAGGCAACTGTTTCATCCCAGCTTAGAAAACGTCCCGCCGAAAGACTCCGTGGGCGGTGGGGGTGGTAACGCAACACCTTTCCTCCGGAGTGGAAACAAACCCACCCAGACCCTTAGGGAGAGTGGTCTGCGAACGCTTTAAACACATCGTTTTCTGTCAACCGGATTTCACCCAGACCAGGGGAGGGGGGCGTGCCACCACATGGTCTGGTGACGGGGAAACCCTGCGTCCGGACTGTGTGAAGGTGCTGGGGGGGGGGGTTAAGAGCTCGCACAGCTCGACGGCCGACCGACACCATTTCCCAATGTAACGACGGTAGGGGAGGATAAGTTTGATCCTGTCAGCATTGCCAAACGTGCGAGGGCTGGAGGGGTCGGGGCGGGTAATGGTTTGAACCCTTTGAAGGGCTGACGAAAGGGGGCGTGCCACCACATGGTCTGGTGACGGGGAAACCCTGCGTCCGGGCTGTGTGAAGGTGCGGGGGGGGGGGTTAAGAGCTCGCACAGCTCGACGGCCGACCGACACCATTTCCCAATGTAACGACGGTAGGTGAGGATAAGTTTGATCCTGTCAGCATTGCCAAACGTGCGAGAGCTGGAGGCGTCAGGGCGGGTAATAGTTTGAACCCTTTGAAGGGCTGACGAAAGTACGGTCTCTGTAAATAGCTGTGGCTATCAGTAGGTTAAGAGTATGTGGGGATGAGTAGATGGGCAAAAAGGCAGTTCTTTAGGGAACGAGTTAATAATAATTCAGTGTATTCACATGGATACAATAGAAAAGTTATCATGGAATTAATGATTACCTGGATACAAGAAAATTCAACAGTCGCAGTTAGGTTGAAGATCCTGATGTGTTTATCAATAATTTCCCATTCCCCGTGGTTGACGTAGAAGGTAGTGCCCACTTCTGCGCTGAAGTAATCTGTGTTGAATTGCATCTCTGTCACGGTCAGTGTCATTGCCGCCATCTTAAAACATATAAAACAGGCTAGACCACGGTCAGTGTCATTGCCGCCATCTTAAAACATATAAAACAGTCTAGAATATTCAAGTTTTGCCGGACCGGTGGCCAACTTTTGCAACTCCATCATGGACCGTTGTAAGATTTATTAACACATTTTTTTTATTGGACCTTAAATGTTTATATTGTGCGTACCGGCTACTTAAGGCTCATTAACCTTCACGGGTCCACAACCCATACATTCTGGAGATCGCTGAGAGAGAACACAAATGTGACTTCCTGCTTCTAGCCGGAGGGGTGGGGTTCAACTTCGATACTACAGTGACGAATGATAACTTAATGAATGAAACAAATAACAATCCGTCGATGGAAATCATGCACCCTCTGTAAGGTTCATTGTTGAATCAAGTTCTTATTCAGGCCCGCGGGTTATCAACAGTTGATGGCGCCAGTTTTTTTTTTAAAAGGAACTATCAATGGCACTAATGACTTTTAGAAGAGGATAATAATAAGTATGTGATAATGAAACTGTGAGACCGCGGGGTGGGGGGGGGAGGGGGAGAAATAGCATACGAAATGAAGAACGACTACATTAAATTGGTTAGAGAATAAAAAAACCTAGAAGTCTGAAATAAAAGCTCCCACTTCAAGGATGCGACTCAAACAATTATTCTATAAATAAATCTGGGAGCTGATCAGGAATGAGAACTAATTATAGCAGATAGAGTCCAAAGTCCACATTACCTGGATAAAACATTTCTGGACGTCGAAGGGATATCGTGTCATATCCAACTCACAGGAAGTGGGGAATAGACTTCCGGGCACCCACTGAGCCTTGCCACTGTAGTATACGAAGACCGGGCTGAAATAGTAACATTGTTAACATTACGAAAGTTAGCTTTGTTGAGAACATGCTTTCCTGCTGTACATTGTGTTGAAGGGGAAAACGTCACATCTTTAGTCAGTGCGTGTCAGGGGGATGACCGTGTCAGGGGATGGGCGTGTCAGGGGATGGCCGTGTCAGGGGATGGGCGTGGCAGGGGATGGCCGTGTCAGGGGATGGCCGTGTCAGGGGATGGCCGTGTCAGGGGATGGGCGTGTCAGGGGATGGCCGTGTCAGGGGATGGCCGGGTCAGGGGATGGC